AACTTTCCGCACTCTTGAGATATTCCATTTTTAATTCTCCTTTCTGATAAGATCTAAATTAAGTCTTGTTCTTTCTCCATCGGTTGTTTTCGGTGTTCCGTACAAATCGGTTCTTTATACGTAAATATATAAAAAGGGGGTCCCCTACTTTACTTCTTTCGTGCGGGGAATAAAATATCGGGCCATTAAATATTCCCGGGAAATAGAATGTGACAAATAGTTTGTGCCAACACGAGTTGCTAAATAAAAATGCTCGGATCTTTTATACATGCGGCTCGGTTGGAAAGTGCTTTAGAGCGGCTGGGCGTTATATACGACCCGAACACCCGCCACCACTGTTCCACGTTCCCCTCACCGACGCAGAACCAGTGAGCAGATGCTCAGTTTCTATATGGAATTCTCTCCATCGAAGGATCGGGTAGGGACCTTGAAATATTTTCCGTGTTCGAACTTTTCTTGCTCGTTTTTCTTCCCACTTGTCTTTTGAAGGCGCTACGAGTGACTCAAATTTAAGGTGTGTTTTGCCACCCCTCCCATCCGAATGTTATACAAAATTTCCCTTAAATCTAAGGTAAATAAATTTAGATGACGAGTAAAAAGTAATTTCAGATACACTCTGTGGTTCTCTCGAAAATGTAGGAATGGGAAAAGTTTGCCAGGGAGAGAAGGTTTTTGTTGTGCTATCATTACGACAAGCGCGTGAATTCTTCATGCCGCTAAATTTACTTCTCAACGTTCCCAGCAAGTAAGTCATTTAGGTCGGGCTTAATGGCAGCGTGGAAAGTCTTGCCTCTGAATTATGTATCGCTTTGTGTAAGTAAATGGGGGAAGGAGATGCGAACGCATCAAAATCTTTTGAGGTAGACTCATAATTTCGGGGTTTCAAAGATAAGAGGACGTGCTGGGATTTCTAATTGATGATAATATTGTTGAATATCGTCCCTTCACTTTTATCCTGAATGCTTCCCCACTTTTTTCGTTCTTTTGTTTCTTTTACATTTCGTTGAACTATTTTGGGTAAAGTTATTTTCTATGCCGCAGTGTTATTTGCAGAGAGTAACTTTAGGTTAACATAAATCCACTCAGGCGCTATTGGCAGGTGTCGAGGATCCCCAGTAGGCCAGTCTTAATTAGCGGTCGCCAGTTCATTATTCAGGGATGCCAGGATGGCGGTCGCCGCCGCTTTGTCCGCCTACCCCTGTCGATTGCCCTGAAATATTTATGGTTTCTAACTGGGCCCTGTTTCGGATGTTTTGTCTAGCGCCTGGTGTGTATAGCTCTAAAAGCCGGCCCTGGTGGTGGCATAGAGTAGACGTGTCGCACACGGTCCTGATAAATTGTCGCGAACTCATTTACCACCTTTAATTTATCGTTTCGGGCAGGTCTCTCTCCATATAAAAACATATGTGTCATTGCAATTTTGCGCTACTAGGTCGCTCGTGACAACGGACAGTGATAAATTATAGTTAGGGAACAAGGTAATTTTTATATAGCACTGATTCTTTTTATAACTGTACATAAATACAATCCCCGTAATTCTTTCCTGAATGCTTCATCGCTCAATGTCCTAACATCCGGATTTGTCTTGACGGTTTCTTTACTTTTACAGAGGGGTCAATCAGATCCTTCTGGGACTCGTTGGTCAAATAATCTGGGATGACTCACTGCAGAAATTCAGCGACAATTCTTAACTGAACCTATCGTTAAATGGCTTTCGTAACGGACAGAAGGGACAGGGTCAGAATACGATCGCCACCGGATTCTACTTAGTTAGAGCTTTTCGACCCTCTCGTAAAGACAAATGAAGGGATTTACACTTATTTTATAGACATAAAGAGGGTTGAGTGTTATAGCAAGTTTTGGTTAGTACTAAGACTTAAAGATTTATAAAGCTTTCACTATATATTTCAAAATATACATTATTTTTCTTCAATCATTAAAAAAATTGTTTATTTATGACAGGGTCGGTTACTCTCATATTGCATTTCATTTATGTATCTGTCAATAATTTCAAGAACCGTCAGTTTGATTTCTTTAGCGTCACGCCATTATATCGGCAAGATTCGATTAAAATTCGCGCCGGTAAAACGTGAACTGTAATCGGTTTTCCGGGCACCGGAAAGGGCATAAATACGGACATAAATCACTACCGATTGCCTACCTGGCGCAAAAACAATTACAGCCTGCAATTTACGACATTCAATATTAAAGCTCCCGGAATCAAACGCGGCAATTCCGTGATTAAGGCAACAGTGTTTCTACGTCGCGTCTGTATAGGCCAATCCATTATTGCTCTTTGTAGTCGAATACCGAAGCGTGACCGCGGTTGTTAAACCCTTTGGTGTAAGGGACGAGATGCTACAACCCTACGTCTGTTGTTTTGGAGATCAAAAGCAAACCTTGAAAAGTTTGAGATGGGCCTTCAAGGGGCCTTGTGGTCCTCTCTGTGTAATCGTAAGTGTCCTTGAACAAGGACGGATTTGTACTTGTTTATTTATTTTCTGTCGGAGTACAAACTGTGAAAACGAAAAAAATGGAAATGAGATACAAATTCTTATATAAATAAAGAAAACGTATAAATGGTATTACTGTTATTAACTGAAAAGTTCCACTCTTCAAAAACTGTTTTTTACAAATTGAAGCAAAACATCAATTTATACTAGATGGTAAAAACTTTCTATTTAATTTGTTATATTAAATTAAAACTAGAACTAATATTAGCACTATCACTAGAACTAACACTAGACCTAGAAACTTTCGGGTTAAGCCGACCGTCTTTTGAAAAAGTATTTGACATTTTGGATGTCATGTTGCAACCTTCTTCAGAAACAAGTTCCAAGTGACGATTTTCGTAAACAAATCTCCTTTTACTCAACCCACTTAGTACCCGATCCTGATCATTTTTAAGGTTTTAGTGCTTAGTCACAGCAAAATGGGGTCGTCCTATTATCTGACGAACCCACAAAAACAATTATCAATTTTGACTCTGCAACTCCTTTGGTGGTTGTTGTAACTTTATATTAGTGATGGAACGGATACTGGATATACAGGGTGATTCAAAAAAACGCTGACATCGGGTCGCAAATGCTTCCTTAACTAGATACAGCGGGTTAAAGTTTCTTTAAAATTAAACATTATCTGCAATAAAAGGCCTTTTTCTAAAAATATTGTCTACGCCATTGCTAATTTTGTCAAACGGGCAGTATATTTGTGTAAAGTGATCAATTACCTATCAATTGGTCTCTTACAAAACTTTGATCAAAGCAATAGTTTTTAAGAAAAACACGTTTGTAGAAAATTTGTTAATCCAATCAAAAACTGTTGCTTTAATCAAAGTTTTATCAAAACTTCAAATATTATTTTTTCAAAAACTAAAAGCTATTTTTGAAAACGGGTTGGTTCATTGGAAAGAGGACGCTCTTATTAACATTTTGGGAAATTTTCATACTCATATTCCAAGAAATGGATATTATACGAATTTTTAAAACTTAATTGGCGAAAATTGCAAAATTTGAAAAAATTGTCGATCATTTCAAAAATTTTTTTCTCAAAAACTAAAAGTGATTTTTCAAAACGGCTTGTTGCATTAAAAAGAGGATACTTTAATTAATAATTGGTGATATTTCCACAAGGATCCTTCAAGAAATTAATTTTATAGCGAATTTTGAAAATTATCGATGAAAATTGCAACATCGAAAATTTTATCAAAATTTTAAATATTGTTTTCTTAAAAACTAAAAGTTATTTGTCAAAACGGGTTGATTCATTGGAAAGAGGATACTCTTGTTAACACTTTGGGAGGTTTTCATACTCATATTCCAAGAAATGGATTTTATACGAATATTTAAAACTTAATCTTCGAAAATTGTAAAATTCGAAAAAATTGTAGATTATTTCAAAAATTTATTTCTCAAAAATTAAAAGCGATTTTTCAAAATGGCTTTTTGAACTAAGAAGAGGATACTTTAATTAATAATCGAAAGTGATAACAGCGACATTTCTGATAATAATGAATGTGATGATGAATTACAAGCGAAGAGAAGGAAACTACGAAACTGCAACAAGAGATTTTATACATAATATATGAAAAAAGTCCTATTGGGGTTGAACTTGATTATTGTCTGCAGTGTCCAGCACCTAAAAGAGATACTAATTCCTGTGAATTATGGAGTACTAAGTAATAGGTTTTTAATATCCGTCCAAAAATAATGGCCGGGTAGGCCGGAAAGTACCTCTATTTCCTCTAGATACTTTCTTTGTTTACACTCTAACTTTTAAAATTCCAATTTGTATAACTTACTGTATGTATCCCACATGCAATCTCGCTGTAATGTAATTATGGTAACTTTTCCCTAACTTTGGGGATAAAAAGGAAAGCTCTCCTTACCCTCTCACTCTACCTGCCATTTCATCAGAAACAAAGTTGCTGCCTACTCTTTTAGCTGCCACTTAGTCATTTCCCAACAATACCTAAATCTGTCTTATCGACATCTTTAAACTGTCAAAAAGCTACCTATCGAATTTTTAATCACTGTTTCTAGAAGTGCACGTCCAGACAATATTTGGGATGCTTCGATATAGATTATTCTGCAAATTTGTAGAGTGGCCATGAGAGTTACTCTTTGTATAGAGATCAACTTTCTTCTAAAGTCTTCCACCACGTTTGTTATGATCAAACAAACAGGAGGAAAGCAGTAAATAATCTGGAGAAAGAAAGAAAATGGATTTATATTAAACAATTTGCTTATTCCTCTCAACTACATTGAATTTGAATATAATTACTCCTTTATTAATAATGTTTGATCAGTAGAGTAATCCTATAAATTTCAATACGGTTGCCTTTAGTAATCGCAGCCTCTGCGTTTGTCGCGTTTACGCTTGAATTTATTTTGTTATTGTACAATTGATTTGTATCCTAACCACCCCAACCGCATACGATATTAATAGCATTATCCATTTTGGCTGAGTAGGAGGATTTAATTTCGCCATCGATATTCGAATTAGGAACAACAATAACGCTTTATTGAATTATAAATACCAGTCGGTTAGTTAACAAATAAATTATAATTAATGATAAACGTGTTAATCCTCATCGTGTGTTTGGTTTTGATTTCGTTTGATATCCTCCCTTATCTTTGTACATTTCTTGTCATCGATAATCCTATCTGCTGGACAATTTAATTGGATTTCTTTCCATATACAATGACCCAGTTTCGACGCCGCAGGATTACAGCTGTTCTTATCCCGTTGTTTTATAGCTGCTTCTTTCGCTGCGGTGTAACACTTATTGAAGATGGCTTCGGATTTTGGTTTTAACCAATCAACCTTGGACATCTTCTCTTTAATTATTTTTCTTGCGGTTGGTTCGTTTACATTACCATCGTCGTCAATCTGAAATTAGCAACAAATTAAAATTTTTAATTTCCTCGTTACCGTTCCTGAAACGGTAATTGCTGTGATGTGATAATAACAGGATAAACATTGCGCAAAACGACGCATAACGGGATGTCAGAGATTGAATAATATGGTTATTGACCTTGACTTTGAGGCAAGGCTACTTACCAATCCTTTCTTTCTCCCCACACATTGAGCTACGCACTAAAAATAAGTTTTGGATTACTTCCTTGATGTAAGTTGTAAACAAAAACTTACCGCTATATCTTTTTTATGTTTATCTCCTCTATCGCATTTAAAGGGATCAAGAAACACTTCGGCTAATTCTTTCCCGGTTATCTCCCTATAACATTCCTTCCGCATTGGTTTTTCATCTTCCCTTAAGGAACTAAAGTATTCTTCGTCGCAACAACTTCGAAAATGTTTTTTTCTACATTTATCTTCTTTAATAACAGCTTCTTCATCGCGTTTTGTTCTCGGATTAATTAAGTGATTATCCCATTGTAAGTCGGTTAATTCTTCGGCTAAGATTTGATCTAAAAATAATTTTGTTAGGTTAATTTTTATTAAATTGATGTGATTTTACTATAAACGGTATCTTCAAAATCATAAGCACCGACAGCGCAGATTAAAAAAAATAATGAGGAAAAGGTTGAAAAACTCATCTTCGTGATCTCGTTGAAGATCTTCGTTAAACTGACCAATTTGGAACTGCGCAGTTATTTAAGTGGTCGCTTTTGCTGGGTCAAGCATCGGTAACGATAAGTAACGGTTAAATAAATATCTTCAATTAACGTTATTCTTCTTAACGTTGCTATTATTTAAGTTTAAATATTGATTTTAAGAAAGTAGGTATTTAGTTTTAGATCATTTGTTTTTAAAGTTAACGTAAGTAATTTAAATCTTATTAAGAATAAAATTAAGGTTTGTAAGTTTTTAAGTAGTTTATTGAGTTTTAAATATGTTAAATAGAAAATAATTAGAAAATTTGAGATAAAGCGCCTCTTTACGATGTAAATTCCTCTAACGAATCAATATTTTCCCTAATTTTCTTGCACTTAGCTTCGTCTGTGACGCGATCAGCTGGACATGAGGCTTGAATTGATTTCCAAAGGCAGTGTCCGTATTTGATGGAAGCCAGATTACATTGACCCTTTTCTCTTGAAGCTTTTCCTGCTTCAACGGATGCAGAGTAGCATTTCGCGAAAATCTCATTTGCCTTTGGAGCGAACCATTCGATTTTAGCACATTTTTCTTCAAAACTTTTCTTGGCTTCAGCTTCTTTAAGATTCCCTTCATCATCGATTAATCCCCTCTTTCTAGCTACGCATTCGGCTAGACACTAATTAAAATTAACTCATTATTAATATAATTAAGTTAGAATGAAATTACTTACTCCAATATCGTTCTTAATTTCTTCATTTTTGTTGCATTTTAATAAATCGATTAAAGAATCTTCTAAATCTTTACCTTTTAATTCTCTATAACATTCTTTTTTGTAAGCTTTATCTTCTTCGTAAAGCTCTCTAAAATAATCTTCTTCGCAACAACTCCTAAATAAATCGCTTTTGCATTTAGAATCTGTTTCGCGTTTACTTCTTGGGTCGAACAATTTGTTGCTATCCCATTGGAGTTGATCCAATTCGTTTATGAGAATGTGATCTAAAATATTATATATTATTATTATATAAAAAGAATTTGAATATAAAAGAACTTACTGTAAATAGAGTCCTCAAAATTATAAGCTTGGGTTGTTGCAATAACGAAAATAAAAGCGAAAATATTAAAGAGTCCCATCTTAAATGTTACTTCTGATACTTTTAAGTTGAGTACACTGACTTCTTGGAGATTTGTGGTGGAGTTTATATACTGTTGTGAATTTTTTGCGAGGACCAAAAAACGCGATGTAATTATCTCTTCGTCAAAAGGTATGACATTGAAAGAGCGTTAGGAGTTCAACTTAACGGGCTTGTTCCCATGTAGAGAAAATGATTGGCATGTCTATTCATCATCACGGATTTTTGCTTGCCATTTTTTCGTTACGGAGATTTTGCAGAGAGACAATGATGGATTCTCAAATTTTTTATTATGATGCTACAGTTACGTTTTTGCGTGATTAATTTTCTGTACGAACTCGAACTTAATGATGTAACAACCCAGGTAAAAGGTAATACGAAAGAGAATAAAATTTAAAAAAATATGCTTCTCAAATGCTATATTTGCATCAATAATTAATTACATTTTTTAATTCAACACCGTTTATTTATGGGAGGTAATCTTTTATGGGTTGACATGTAACTTAAGAGTTGAATGCAAGAGCTTAGATCCTTAACAAAAATATCTTGGCAATCGAGTTGAGATTCCCTAAAAACACAAGCTCCTAGCGGAGTTAAAAGATTGTTACACCCCGTTTTTGTTGATTCGACTAATTCGGAGTAAAGTTTTGTTGTGTCTAAACATTTATTGATAATTTTTGACCGCATCTCCTCTTTAACCCATGAATACTGAATCCTTATTTTCTCGTACATGTAATTTTCTAAATTCGTAAGAATAATATTTCCTTTTGGGGAATACTAAAAATAATAAAATTAATATTGTTACATAACCAATACATTTTAGCACATACAAATTCTAATTTTTCTGCAACACAATCCATAAAACACTAAAAAAGTAAATTATTAATACAATAATTAGAAATATTAAATTTTTTATTTTGCCTTTGTTTTCCCCAAAATTATCTCATTCATACATTGATTAGTAATAACATCCAATGATGTTCTATTCTCTAAGTCAACGGAACAACAAGAATGAACATCAATACAAGTTATATCACGTTTATTGCGAATTGATTTAGTACCATTTGAAATTCTTTTAATACCATGATCTAAAATATTATTGTATTAAGGAATATCTGGAAATTGTTTTTACTCACTTCTACGTATTTTCGAAGATAAAATCAACCAACTAAACATAACAAAAATTATTAATTGAAACAACTTCATCCTTGGATATTTACCAAAATTTTGTTAAATTTTAATTGAATCATTTCCTTTTTATACTTGCCCAGAATGAATAAATGTTTTAAGAATTTCTGTTGATTAATAACTTAAGGATTAACAAAGAAAAAATGCGTAATTGATAACATTCTTTAATATGTAGGTAATATTTTTTATTATGATCAAAACAGTTTTAAAATTAAGCAACCTAAAATATTTTATAATACGAAGAGTTAGTTTTTAAAGCATTCAAAAATTTGGTACATTTCTCGGGATTTTCAATTAGATCACTTGGACAAGCAGCCTGTGTTTCTCTGAACATACAATGCGAAAAATTTAATGCGGTCGATTTGCAACGAGAATTTTTAATTGGACTTTCAGTGGTTTTAATTATTTCCGTTGATTCACGTAAACATTTCGTTATTAAATCATCCAATTTTGGATTTAACCATTCTAAGTTGTTTTGTTCTGTTACAAACTTTTTTACATTGGTTTCATTTAAATCACCTTTTGAATCAACCTGAAAAAAAATGTATGTTATTTATAATCGTGTTTGTTTATGTAATATCAAAAAATCGATGAAAACCTTATCACAAATATTATCTTATAAGTAAGACCTAAACTGAATGAGTAAAAATGGACAGCAACATGAATCATGTACTAATTAAACTTTTTTAATGATTTAAATGAGTTGCATTTAGATTTGTCTAAAATATGTGACAGTTGCAGGAAAGAAACTTTAAAAACTTTTGACACGATAAGTTTCGTGGGTGTTAGCTGTTAGAAAAGTTATAATAAGCAAGTGTGAATACGTTTATGAACACGAACGAGGTGTTTAGGAGGCAATTTCATGTGCTGATTACTGTGATTATTATAATAAAGCTGAAGTTTCCTCTTTTTATTAGGAAGAAAGTTTTAATGTTTATTGTTATTAAGTTTAGTGTTACTGATTAATCAATTAAGAAAATAACGATTTAATTATAAATTTGATGATAAGTGTTATAGAACAAATCTCATATTAACACCGCAACTGATTGAATTGCTCCCAACACAATCGGTATATCAAAAAAACTTTTTTGATTGTATGGTCAAGTACTCCATAACAGAAACAATGCTTTCAGGTTCAAGAAAGGTTTCCAAAGTATCACTAATCCACTCCACCCTAGCAAACATGTTTACCAAAAAGCAAAATCAACAATTACTGCTCCCCATGCTTTGACTAGCACTTTCACAAAAAACGGATTCAAGATTCAGGGATATGCTGATGACCTAGTAATCACAATCCGAGGTAAATATGATACAATCATAACTCAACTAATGCAGAAAGCCCTACTACTCACCAGTACTTGGTGTAGAAGCAATGGGCTCAGCATAAATCCAAATAAAATCGAAATAGTCCCTTTCACTCGGAGAAGGAAGCTACAAATAAAAGCACCCTCCATTGAAAGCAGAACTATCAACCTCAAAACAGTAGTTAAATACCTAAGGGTAATACTAGACAGTAAACTAACATGGAACTGACATTTAGATAAGGTGAGGAAAAAGGCCATCATGGCAAACCAGATCTGCCGCAGGCTCCTAGGAAGGAACTGGGGTCTCAAACCACGAATGGCTCATTGGGCCAACGTAGCAATAATCAGACTCATGATCGCCTACGCCTCATTGGTTTGGTGGCTAAAAACAAAACATAAGACAGCACAACAACAACTGGCACAAATCCAGCGGTTAGCATGTTTTAACATAACTGGTGCAATGAAATCCTGTCCGACGGCTGCTTTAGAAGCCCTACTCAGTCTCACACCGCTTCATTTATATATACAAAAGGAGGCTTCAAGTGCCTTATCACTGAAAATAGTTTGTTCACTCAAGTTGATGCAGGGCAACCTCACAGGACACCTCGAAATCGTCAAGGACCTATGTCTAATCACCTGATTGAAATTAAAACGGACCTTATACCGACAGAATACAGTTTCAATCAGCAGTATAAGGTCATATTTAGAAGCAGGGATGATTGGGCGAAGGGTCTAAAAAGAGGAGCCCGAGCGTGGTACACCCATGCTTCAAAGACAGTTAGATCCGGAGTAGGTATGGGCATCAATGGACCGAACAGCAGCATTAAACTGCCACTCAGCTCGGACATAACAGTTTTCCAAGCAGAAGTTATTGCTATAAAATTCTGTACCGCTTTGAACCTACAGAATGGACAGAAAGGTGCATACATCAACATTTTCACAGACAGTCGGGCCGCTTTAAAGGCAATTGAGGCCTACACGTGTGACTCCGCACTGATCAGAGACTGTACCAGCAACCTGAGAGAACTCGCTAGGGGCAATGATGTTACCCTATGGTGGCTTCCAGGTCACAGCAACATTGAAGGCAATGAGAAGGCGGACAAGCGGGCCAAAGAAGCAGCGAACACACCCTTCATTGGATCCCAACCTGGCTGTGGACTACAAAAAAGCCACTTAAAACAAAGGTCTCAAAGGTAGCCTTACGCAGGAAAGAACTTCCAGGTCACAGACAAGCCAAGAGTTGATAACTCCGTCGCAAAACAAAACCAAAGAGGTTTTATGCCTCAGCAGAGGAAATCTAAGAACGCTCTCAGGTTACTCCATTCGCCCCTAAAATGCCACCTCTTCCACATTGGACAAGCTGAGGATCAAACTTGTCTACTTAGCAACGATGAGTCAGAAACAGCTGAACATATACTGTGCAATTGCGTTACCAGAGGCCGTCTAAGACACAATATTTTCGGTAAAACTCTCTTGACACCTACCGACAGGTAGGTTCAAGACCTCAGAGCAATACTAAGGTTTATTAAGGACCTACATTTACCCTAAACCTTTGGAGTTCAACCTTTGTTACAATAGATCTTATAGGTCGGGGTAACGAGAGGGGCCGCTCCTCTCATCCCGGCAGCAATAATAATAAAGATTTCCAACCCAGCTTTATAATATGATTTGTATGGGTTATCGGACCTATGTGTCTATATATTATATATAATACATAATACAAGAAAAATATATATACCCATCCTGTTTGTTGTGCCACACATTGTTTAACACAAACAATATCATTTTTTCGTTTTTGAAGATCCTCACAACTGAATGGATCAAATGTACCATTCTTCCTCCCTGTCATTACTTCTTGATAACATTTTCTTTCAATTGGTACAAATTCCTTTCGTTTTTCTTGGAATTCTTTTCCACCACAACAAGCATATGGAAGTTTTGATGGTCTGTAGCAACTCATATTTTTAACATCTCTCCTAATTCTTTCTAAATGAATTAAATCTTCAGAAAATGTTTCGAAATCTTCGGCAAGAATCTGATCTGTTATTAATTTTTTAAATAAAATCGATACAATTATGTTTTTAATAAGAATACGAAACTTACTGTAAAGAGCATCGTTGAAATTATAAGCAAATATAGTATGAAATACACTCAAAACTATTATTAACATAACCATCGCGAGGTGTATTTTTAATTTTTGTTATGAAAAATGGTTGTGTCGACGTATTTAATAAGTTTTAAATCACAATAGATTTAATTGTATAATAGAATTTGAAAATTATTTTAACCTTGTATTTCTATCACAATATTATTTAGGTATATAATTTATTTTTCTGTAATTTACGGATGTCGCACACAATAAACAAATTTAAATAAATGATATTGAATAAAAAACCCAAGTGCGTGTGAAGTTACAATACTTTTATTAGCAGCATTAAAAACATACGTATTTATCAAACATTAAGCAGCAACTTTTTTTTTAATTAAAACATTTAATGTGGAGGATGTGGGAAGAAACTTGAATGTTTAGCAAATTGCCGAACAATTTCGCAAGTTTTTGGATCCTCAATTTTATCTTCTGGACAAGCGAGTTGAGTTTCTCTAAACATACAGTGTTGGAATTTGATGTGGGCTGGATTACAAGCATTTTTATCAGATTTATCCGTTTTTTCTCCAGCTTCTTTAGCTTCTGCAAAACATTTAGTTAACATATCATCGAGTTTCGGTTTTAACCATTCCATTGAAGTATGCTCCGTAACATATTTTTTAATAACATCTTCCTTAAGATTTCCCTCTTCATCAACGGCGTTCTTCTTTTTACCAACGCATTGTTTAACACACTACAAAAATTAATAAATTAATTAATAAAAAGAATCGTTATTAAAATAACAATTAACTTACAATCATTTCTTTTTTGCGTTGTTCAATATCATCGCAATTAAAAGGATCGAATGGTTTACCATGGAACGTTTCTTTCCCAGTAACTTCTTTGAAACATTCTTTTTTGATATCACGTAATTCGTTATGAAGAGCTTCAAGGTCTTCAGCCCCACAACATAAGTGATGGTGATGATGATGTTTATGATGACATTTCGGGTCTTCGGTTTCTCTGCGTGCTCGGTGATTTAAAATTGTTATTTCTTCATCATCAGCCAAAGATTCAAAATCTTTTGAAAGGTATTGATCTAAACAAAAAGAAAAAGATAAGAAATAAGATTGTTTTAAAATAAAATAACTTACTGTAAATCGCATCATCAAATTGATAGGCATTTACAGCCAAAATGATATAAGAAACAAGAAGTAAAGTTTTCATCCTCACAAAGTTGTTCTTGTTACTGACGACCGGTTTCGCGAAGACTTCTCTATTTATATCCGCTGCATTCCTTGTCTCCACAGTTTTTTTAATGGGAGGTAGCACGCTATGTTCTGGTTACTTTTTTTTAGAGTTGGTGTTAAATCGTTAAAATTGATATGATTTTAATCGGTTTTTGGTTACATAAGATGTTCAAGATTTATCTTTGCGGTGGCAATTGTAAAAAATCGCTTTGACCTTCGTTGGTCATCATCTGTAATTAGCTTTGATCTATATAATAGCGTTTTAATAACCAAAATAAACAATCAAATATAACAAAGGGAAGTGCGTTTCATTTTCTAGATAATTAAATATGTGTTTTTCAATAACAAAATTATTTCTTTGAATTGTCTTTGTTTGAGTTTTAATGTTTGTGATGTCTAAATATCATTACAACAGAATAACAAAACGTTAAGGGGAACTACACCTATGATTAATGTACTTCGTGTTAACAACGAAACGTGTGGTTATATTGTTAAAAATATTTACTTATTGTTTAATCAAGATGAATCAGTCTTGTTTCTATTAAACAAAACTTTCTTTCTTTTGTCGAGTTTATTTCTAGTTTTTATTTTGTTCTTTCTTTTTATAAATCTTTATGTAATGGTTTGATTTGAAGGTGTGAGTGCGCGCCTTTGTTTAGAAACTGATTGTGTGAACTCGTTCATGAATATTTACCTACAACTGTATTTGAAATACTGATTTATGCAATGATATTGGAAATTTCCAGTAGCATTGTGATAAATGTTAAAACAATGAAGAATTATTCCGCTAATGCATCATCAATTAATCATTCTCATTAGAATAGTAATAAAATCCATAAATATACAGTGACCGAAAATAATGGCAGTTTCATAAATTGTAACAAAAATTGCTCTTTATGTAATTGACGAAAACTCTTTGTGTTGAGTTATCGATTATGAAACGCATCGATTTAATGAATGTATTTGGTTGTAATGTGATTTGCTCATTTCTGGAAAAAACAATTTGTGATTTTATTTAATTTTTAATGGGCGGAAGAAATAATCGTCGAGCTCACTTATAATTGAAACGTCGCAGTACGCTTAATCTTTTTATTGACCTATTATGGATGTTTATGATGAAACATCTCAATGAATGTTTGCAGTCAGTAATCCCAGAACTCAAATAGCCGTTTTTTTCATAATTGGTTGAGTGGTGGATCTCGTTGAAACAATGGGAACATTATTACCCACAGACGAAGTTGTGTAAACATCAAATATCACGATGCCCGTCTAGTTTGAATCGTTGCAATACCCTCGTCAGTAAACAAGGCTTTCGTACCACCATAACAGGGCTCTATTTCAAACCGATGCTTACTCCCAATATTAGATTAACCGGTATACTAACACTAATTTGGACGTATCCTTCGATACACAGCCTTCAATATTTAAAAATGTGTTGTAGTTGCCAGAGATTCCATTAATAACACTCCATTATTTAGCATGTGGGTAGTTTTGCAACCAAAAATCAACCCAGTTAGGTTCATTTTTTTATAGTTTAGACAGGTTTAAGATTCTTATAGTTAGATAGAACTCAACAATACGATTACATGTTTATTATGAAACGTTTTACTTACTTTTTAAGGCAATCTATACTTTAACGTAGGTTACTCATTCCAGTGATCATATTTATGTTATGTTTACTATCTATCTAACGTTCGGCGAGATATAATATGCTATTAGTCGTTTTTGATGTGTAGTGAAATATGAAGAATCCGCACAATTGATCCTACTGCAATGCATACACAGTTAGGCAACACGTATTTCAGTGCCTAAGATTTCGCCTAATAAAGTTGAGGGTCGTTAGCGACCGAGACAGTACAATATGTATTGTCCAATTTTATATAGATGTGAGATCAAGTATATAGCCGAGCTTAATCAACTGAAAATATTCAGTTTTACCGGGTTAAGCTTCAATTCAAATTTAGGCAACACACATTCATATCCATATTTTTTATTTATCTGCTGATACAAAGTCGAGCAAAAACGTCAAAACAAAAAACAATCAGTGTTACAAAAAAGGCTTACATCTAACACAAAAAACAGTACTAGCACTAATTAAATGTGTCCAATTCATTACAATTTAAATATTCATCTATATTATAGAAACATTTTACGAGTAATAGGCTTTTTACATATATGTGAAACTTCTTAAGAGTTAGATCTTTGACATGTTGCTGCGTTAATTTGAGTCTATGTGATGGCAATTCAAAAAACGATTTATAACATGTGTCGTAGAAATGTAATTGAGAGTTTGTTCTAAATTCGCTTTTGTTAATATGAACGTAATTTAGACACGTTAATATGTAGTTAGATGGCACTGTTAGTATCTTGTATTTTTTAAAAAATGATTTACAACTCACGACGGAAGTTAGGCCGTCTAACGCTCGAATATAGCGCTTTTGCAAACGGAAAACCCTCTTTAATCCAGTAGCCGACCCCCAGGCCAGAACACCGTACCCAGCCACCGCATGAAAACACGAAAAGTACACCACTCTTACAGTACGTCACTATTGCAGTGTCTCAACCGAAAGCGGCATCGATTTCATAAACGTAAATCCTTCATTCTTCGCCCCTATACAACGGAAAGCTGTATTCAGGCTACCTTCTCTTTCATAATACATCAGCTATACAACAATCTTTTAATTAATAATATCCTGTAACCTCAATCTTTTGAGTTCCTGGGTAACTGAGCCACAGGAACTAAGTGGCTTCAACGTTGGATTTCGCAGCAGTCTTTTTTCATGCTTCGCTTCGGACTCTTGAATTACTTCGTAGACCTATTTGATCATCATGTAGTTTTTAATTGGTTATATTACAATAAGCATTGGTAATCAGTCAAAGAATTTGTATTGAGATGATCAATTAATTAGATCACTTTTTTCAATCCCAGATCTGATTCCCGTAAGTCCAGATAGGATTAATCATGAACTGATAAACTAGTCTCTTTAATTGCAAATCAAGTTGGAATCATCTACCGACTAACCAGTATTTTGCCTACTTTCGAATCTACTCTGCTTAGCTTTCTATCTAACATGATGCTTCCACTGCCATCAAAATGGAGATCAACATATTTTGTTGATGCTGATTGAGGAATGGAGCATCTTTCAAGAGACACAGTTAGGTTGCTATTTGTTCGCCGTAATGCAAAATTAATGTGGACCGATTTCAAGTCTTAAAACATTGCGACATTCTTCAGTCTCAAGAATTTCAGAACTTTTTCCATATTTATTCATTGGATTTTCATAATAATTATTATTATTTCTGGCTTATAAAAAGGTGTATATCTCTATAGATGGAGTAACACCTATTTTATCCCCTTTAATTCATTGCTTGATTACTGATACTTCCTTTAATTGAGTTTACACGAAGGTATTATTTACTGTGTTAAACCGAATCTTTCAACAATTGTTAACAATTTTTGAGAAAAACATCTATACACCGATTCTTTTAAAAATATATATTTTATTAAACAATTTTCGATACATTTTTAAAAATATTTAATGACCAACAACTGGGAGAAAAGTTGAGTGTTTAGCAAATTGCCGAACGATTGCGCATGTTCTTTGATCTTGAATTTGATCTGCTGGACAAGCGAATTGAGTTTCCCTAAACATACAGTGCTCGAATTTGGTAAGAGCCGGATTGCAGGCATCATCAACAGATTTATTCATATTTTCCGTTGCCTTTTTAGCTTCTGCGAAGCATTTTGTCATCATATCATTGAGTTTTGGTTTCAACCATTCCATCGTGGTATGTTCGGTCATGAATTTCCTAGCAACATCTTCCACAAGATTTCCTTGCGCATCTAAGCAACCCTTCTTTTTACCCACACATTGTTTAACACACTACAAATATAAGAAAATGAATTTAGTACTCATAGTTTAAAGGTTTAAAACTTACAATTAGATCTTTTTTAAGTTTTTCGACATCATCACAATTGAAAGGATCGAATGGTTTCCCATGGAACGTTTCTTGTCCAGTAACTTCTTTGTAGCATTGTTTTTTGAGATCGCGCAAATCGTTGTCAATTGAGAGAAAATCTTCTTTTCCGCAACATACAGGTGGACCTTGCGGTTTACGACATCTCGGATCTTCAGATTGTCTTCGTATTCTGTGAGTTAATGCTTGATCATCAATCAGAGATTCGAAATCCTTTGCAAGGTATTGATCTGTAAAAATAAAATGGAATTAGTTACCAAAAAAAATGGAAAATAAAGATATACTTTAAGCGATAACTTACTATAAAGGGCATCGTCGAATTCATAGGCGTTTATGCCTAAAATGATGCAGCAAGCAAAAAGCACGATTTTCATCCTGACAGAATTGTTTGTACACTGATGAGTGAATGCACGAAGACTTCTTTATTTATACGTTTGGATTTGTTGTGTTATTTCGCAAAAACCACATTAATTAAAATTTATTAATTCTGGGAAATACGTTATCATATCTTTTTCGATAAATAGTTTTAGATAAAGTAATTTATATTTAAGTAGTATAAGATCCTCTTTATATAATTGATGGTTCCACTATGTCTTTTTGGTCTGAGGGTTTTTTATGTTTATCAAGTATTGAAATTGGGTATTTCCAATCATGTTATTTTAACTCATAGTAAATATTACGCGATTATTTTTATGACCTATCACTTTTCGATAACCGCTACTTTTCAACAACAAATATTTATTTATAAACATTTATTTATAATCTTAATTTTGATTTTTAAATAGTTATAGTAGTGATGAAAGTTTTTAAAGCGTATATGTGACATGCAGTTAGAAATAGATTGTGTCAACTTATTCATGAATTATTAAAATGTATTTCGAGTACTGATTTATATAATGAAATTAAAACTTTCCAATGACGTTTGATACGAATATTACCATAATGAATATATAAAATGGTTATTAATTCCCTGAATCAGTTATTTTAATCGATTACAAACTATTCTAATAAAAAATTTGCGAGCGGTGTTATAAATTAACCGTAAAAATAAAAACAACAAAATGTAAATATATTATTATCAAATTTCTTCAAAATTAAGGATTACCTAAATAGTTATAAGTTCTTGTATTCTGGTATTAATTATTTATCTCTGCCGAAACATGATTTGTACCCATACAAATCATTACAATTTACGATCGGTATCAATCACTATGTTGGCAAAACCTATTCGATTGTTTGTCAAACATAAAATCTACAACCACGAACTAACATAAATATTGCAATAAATTCTAAAATACATCGTATAGAATAATTAATATAACCGCAGCGAAATTTCTTCAATTTATATAAAAATTTTCACCCTCCCATACGCGCGGATTTTTGACCATAAAAAACCTGACAACGTTTAAATGGTGTCGTTAAAACGTGAGGGTGGAAGAATTAATATGGAAAGCGTCTATGGAACGCGTAAAAACTCATAAAGTTATAAAGAGACTTTTATCTGTTGTTAATAGGATCGTTTAACTGCTGTAATCGTTGAAAAATTTAAAATAATGCGAAAAAGAAGTCCAATTATATCTGTTAATTCATAATTAACACAACAAACTAAAAACAACAATAACAGAAATACGTGATATGCAAATAAACGTTCATTCAACATCCCCACATTCCAATAAAACACAAATCTCCTTTATTTTTTCTCTTATCCCCCTAAAAGAAAAATAAATAAAGATAGAAAACATCCAACGAATAATAAGAGTTAAGATAAAAGTAACATAAACTCAGACATCATCACAGTGATTATTGACCGTATCATGTTTACAACCCCCTTTAAATCTAATAAACGTTCCAAGAGAAAGAGAGTACGGAATGAAAGGGTCGAAAAGGTAACGATTTCATGAATTTACGTTCCGGTCCCTTTCTCCAAAAGCTACCTAACCGCACAGCGGGGAAAAATCGCTGGAAAACGAACCGCGCCCCATGAAAACGCTTTTTAACGCACACACCCAACGAGAAAATACAGGGTGGTGGGTTTTAAATCAACACGTAGCGATACCGCCCATCTTGAAAGTCACGGAAGAAACGAGTAACTACTTACAACCAGTTGGATTTATGTCGATTTATGGCGTGTTCCGGATCTTGGTTCAAAAAGTTATGGGTTATTTGTAACAGAAGGTGTTGTAGAGGTTTATCGCAACGGAGTTGTTACTGATTTGGCCTTATTTTTGAAAATTTAAACAGGGTTGTTGCAACTTAAAAGCCTTTTAAGATCGTATCTAATAATCGTATTTCAATTTTTCTACTTGGCAAGTTCGAGTTATCGATTTTCGCTGTAAACTTCGTTATACGAAAGCAAAAAGAATTTTTTTTCAAAAATAGCATCCATCGGATATATATCAAGTGAAATACACCGGTGTGACGGCATGAACCCAACACCACCGGCCGGAAGGTCTTCGAAAGAAGGACCACGTAAACACGAGCTGGTAAAAAATTAGTGTCATTTTTCGGAGTGTACCAGTTTCAAGGCACGTTCTTTCTCGCTACCAACGACCTATACCGACGTCGGCGTCGCGACGGGTCAGCTGCTGGCGACAACCACGCCAATTCACCATAGGTTACAACGACGGGAAATGCCGACAACAGGGCGTGTAAGATAAAAGGGCCCTTTTACTCGATTAAGGCCTTACTTTTACGCAGCAAAGAGGGCTTGATTAATTAATACCTCCTTTAAGACCATCAGTTGCAGATGTTGTTTACGCCTTTTCTGATGACTGAACTAATAAAGGGTTCCCGAGTTTTCAAGATGAAACATTATGTAATGAAAAATTAAGATTACAACACGTCTTTAAGATAATACATTGGATGTGCCTGTACCATTATTTTAACTACACATAATAATGTATTGATTTCAGAAATAAACAATAATCTGTAAAAAAAATTATAAGATAAATCTGAATTCTGATGCAAAATATAAATCTAACATAATATTTCGGACTCTAAATATTTGTGGTTTAGAAAGAAAATAAAATCGAATTTATCAGAAAGACATGAATGAACACCATACATGAACAGTATTGGATGAGTTTATACAAAGAACCTCCATATCAGAATTATAGTCAGAAAAGATGTATTTCAAATTTGACACATAAGATAAGTTAAATCCTAACCAAACAAACGAAACCTCGAAGCAATGTAATCCTACTCCAATGCAAGACAACTCAAACCCAAAGCATGCCAACCTAATCCCAAAATAACCGAATCCAAACCTGTAGCAATGCTTTCAATTTTAAAGATTTGCGTTTCTAAAAGTAATTATCCAAAAAGTAAGTCAACCCCTTGGCAGTAGTAAGGCAAATCAATACAATCTCAGAACAGCTCAACTCATTCTAATTCAAAGTTGAGACTTGACAAAGGCAAACCAATTTCAAACCAACCTAACTAATTCCCACAGCAAACCAATTCTCAAAGCAAGTCAACCGAAACTCAAAGTATAAAAACTCAATCCAAAACAACAAAGGTATCTTAAATCGCTAGAAAAATTGTAGCTGATTCTTGTCGTGGTAACTGGAAATATATTGGAGGTTTGTGAAGTCAAAATTCTGACTCATATGTTGGGTTGACCTACTTTGGCAGTTTATCATGTATTTATATATATTTTTTTATTATTAATTATTAACGTGTTGTTACAGGTCTAAAGGAAGTAAAAATGCCTAGAAACTATCAGAGAAAATTGAGGGCGCGTACCTACAAGAACTACAGTCCGTATACCTACTTTAGCGCAAATAGGATTTTTATATACTGCCAAAGTAACCCCACATTTCAAGTTGTTGATAGCTTTTTCACAAAAAACTCGGCTTGAGACAAACCTTTTGAGTTCAACGTTTTACTTGTGTAAGGAATGGCATTAACCGTATATTTAGTTGTATTGTCACACATTTAAACTAACTTTAGCCCGTATTTATCCGGCTTGTTAGGAATATACATTCTAAAGTTACATCGCCCTCGAAATGCGAGCAATTGCCCATGAATTGTCAGGAATGAACCGGGCTTGTAAGAACTTCGCTACGCAGCAATAAATAAATCCCAAACTTCCCTTATAGGAGCAAAGTTGTCAGTTTTTCTCCTATCAGCTCGAGTGTTATAATCATGCATTCCAACAAATAATCAAAACGGTCGCAGCTTATGGTGACGTGGTATCTATTACCACTGATTTCTGGGTTAAACAGCTTGTTTGACAGTAAATGATTGTCCTTTTGAGCAGCTGAAAGAATTAATAACCCTAATAGATCCTGGTGTAATGTGAATAATATTTCTGCCTATCGATGATCTATTTCTAGCAGCCGTTGGCTTGTTTGTCCAACGATGACCATTTTTCCCTCCGAGACTAATTTTATCACAAACCACAACGTGTGGATCAAAAACAACAGGATGAACGTTATCAGTCCTCTTCTTCTTCCTAACTGGTGGTAGAGGTTCTTCTTCATCCATACTTGAAACGTCTGATAGCTCTAAGTCTGCATCAGGGTCGTAGTGTGGGTCTTCATCGGTATCATCACTATTCATAACGCTGTAATATGTATACCATATGATCTATTTCATCATCCGATCCAGAATCGTTGTCAGATTTATCACTATCACTCTGTAGTAAGTATTTTTCAATTTTACTTTCAGTACACTTTCGACTCATTTTTGGAACTTATTTATATTTACATTAACTTATGTACATTTACCACTAAAGCTGCGCATGAGAACAAAATATTAACACTTTTCAATCAATAATAATCCACTATAAACAAAACGGGTATATAAAAAATCCAAGTGTTAAAGTTAAACTATCGTAAAATTTACGAGTGATCGAAAGCAGAACGAAAATGACAAACTGCAAAGAAGTGCGCCAAACACTAACTGATGAAGCAGCGCCAGTAAGGCACGGAACCAGACGGGTGAGTGAATCGTCGCAGGGTGATGTAAGAAAACTAAACAAAAAAAACACACTCGTAATTTTTACGATAGTTTAGCTTTCTAGAGTTAAAAGTTGGATTACTTTTTGGTTGACTTGCTTTGGAATTAGGTTGAGTCACTTTGGACTTGATGTGGGTTAACTGGCTTACTTTGGAGATAGTTTACCTTGTGGTTCAGGTATTTTGGAGTTTTATGAGCTTGGTTTTAGGTTAGGTTACTTTGTGGTTACGTTGTTTTCAAATTTGTTTACTTTGGAGTTCAAATATTTTCTGGTTAAGTTGATTTAGGAATGGTTTGTTGTTTTTTAGGTTGGTATTGTAAATAATTGAATGTGCTAGATGAGATTAGTGTTGTACTGTGTTATGCACTCTTGTGAAGATAATCATTTCCGTCTTCTTGCGTGTTAAATATTAATAAGCAAAAACGAGTTTTCTTGTAGGTAACGTAGTTTTTTCAAATTATATAACTTTATTAACTTCTCAAAAGCTTTTAATGTAATTTTATTGAACCTAATGAACAATTCGTTGGAGCATATAAGTTACAACATCTATTACACAAGACATCCGTGACCGCGGATGGTACTGATCCATTATAATTAAGTCCGTGCATTGTCCACCACGACAAAGTTGAGAACCATGCAAACCTCACAGGGACGCACAGTATATAATTTGATCCGACCTCAACAGCGCACGTCCCCAGAGCGTTTACAGTCGTTCTCTCTGTCTATCAAATCCTTAGGACCGTTCCCTAGAACGCTCTCTGG